GCACTGCGGACACAGCGAAACACTGATCACTCTACAGGACCTCTGAGTGAGGTCCCGATTATGTGATCACTGATTGGCCAATCTGTGATCACATGAATAAGTAGTAAGCAAGATGTCACTTCCTGACATAATTGCTTACTACTTGTGAAATCTGTGAATGATCACAGAGGTCACATGGTACAAGGCTATTCACAACAGCCTTGTACCATGTGACAAGCTGTGACCAATCACAGCTTGCACAGTATTTTTCTATGGCTGCAAGAATGCAGTCAGAGAGAAGGAGAAATGATTGCTTTAACAGCCTTTCTTATTATTATACAGGATTTATATAGCGCCTACAGTTTGTTCAGCGCTTTACAATATAATAGGAGACAACACAGCAACAATACAGTTCAGTACAAGAGGGATATGAGGGCCCTGCTCCTTGGAGCTTACAATCTAGGAGGGCAGGGCTAGTGGTACAAAAGGTAGTAACTGTGGGGGATGGACTGGTAGGAAGAGTAGAAGATTCCATTATTAGCTGAGGGCAGGATAGGCTTCCCTGAAGAGGTTTTCAGAGATCGCCTAAAAGCGAGCAGAGTAGGCGATAGTCTGATAAGTTGGGGTAGAGAGTACCAGAGGATGGGGGAAGCTCTGGAGAAGTCCTGGAGATGAGCATGGGAGGAGGAGACAAGGGAGCTAGAGAGCAGGAGGTCGTGCGAGGAGCAGAGAGTACGGTTTGGGTGATATTTGAAGACAATATTGGTGATGTATTTATACCCTTTATGGGTATAAAAGCAATCAGTGTAAAAAAAAAAATCTTCATCACCCCCCACAAGTAGTACAGTGTAGTACATAAATATTAATATAAAAAAAATAAATAAAAAAGTAAAACAAATTTGAAAAATTATAATTTTTGGTTATAAACTAATTTTTTTTTACTAAAAAGATAGCTGAATACATTTTGGCCAACATTTAGGAAGAAAGAGTATTTATTTGCAAAATGTTATAAGAAAAACACTATATTTTCAAAATGTTTTGGACTTTTTAATAAATACCATCAAAATAAAGTTTTATCTGTCTCAAAAGAATGCTAAAAAATTCAAATGGGTACAGTGTTGCATGATCACATGACAGAGCTGAAAGCTGAAAATTGGCCTGGACAGGAAGGGGGTGAAAGTGTCTGGACTTGAAGTGGTTAAACAAAGTAAGAGCTTATCACCTAAACCTAAATACAGCAAACAATAGTTGATGCCAGGAAGCCTGTAACAGAAAATAAAGTTTCTTAACCCCATGTATGCTGGAATTCACTCCCTGCACATAGTTCCACTGTGTACAATATGCCAAGGGGTCCCAGAAACAGTCTCTCCATCCTTAGTTGCATGGAGAGGGTAGCCTGTATAATTCATGGCTAGCCAGGTACTCTAGGTACCCAGGAAAGTGGTATAACCCTCTTGGGGAAAAGGTTCCTTGCAACCCCAAGAGGGGGGTCTCCTCAGTTCTGAGTCCATAGTCGGTGGGAAAGAGGCTGGCCCCCAGGCCCCTCTAGGAGCCCAAGTCACAGTGGTTTCCGTAGCATACAGCTTATCATTTTATTTTATTTGTCATTTTTTGCCATGTAACAAATATTTAAGATGTATGCTTGTGCTCTTTTCCTAATATGCAGTTTCATCTACAGACTGCAGTGCCCTCCACCTCATCCTTGAAGTCAGCATGAGAGCCTCAGCACTTTCCCTGGGCTTACAGATAGAAACGATGGAATGACATTTCTTGGAAACCCTCATAACCAGTATGAAAACGAATACTGTGCTGGCCTTATGGGTGACACATACCACACATGTTCCAAGTTGTAAAATGCGTATGTTCCTAAGCTAGCTGCCCAATCAATGTCCTGATTACAAATTTAGATGAGTTGCTTTGCCTGATTGGCCTGCTATTACAGTATGAGAAAGACATGTTGTGTGGGTTGGGAACCATAGCAATCCGTGTACTGTTATACCACAGGCACCTCTGCAGACATTCGAAGCCTTACAATTGTGTGTTAATATTTTGAACTACTAAAAACGTTGCTAAGAATCATTTGTAGTTCAAATTACCACTAATATAAACCCATTATAATTTTAGAAAAATGACAATACTTTGGAGGAACTTTAAAACTACCATATACATATGCATCTTTTTATTATATTGTTCATATATGGCTGCTCTTCCGGCATTCCATAGCTCTTACTTGCTAAAACTGAAAGATCAGAACCTCAAATGCAGTTCTACAACTTTTCTGTAATCAATTATTGTTGAAAATAGTATTCATTCAACATGATTCCATTTAAACAATAATTTTTTTTTTTGGGGGGGGGGGGGGGGTGCCAGAACTATTGCAAATGGGCAGGTAGAGGTCCTAGGAAAGTAAGAATGATAATTGAAGCCACCACATAAAAAGGCTTTGGGTGGGTTTACTAAAACTGGAGACTTCAAAATCTGGTGCAACTCTGCAGAGAAACCCGCTTCTAGTTTTTTTTCAACGCTTAATTGAACAAGCTGAAGTTAGAAGTTGATTGGCTACCATGCACAGGTGCACCACATTTTGCACTCAGTTTTAGTAAATCAACCCCGGTATCTCCACCACAGCCAAAAATATATAGTGGGAAATTTACTAAGACTGGAGCAGACATAATCTGGAGCAGCTGTGCATGGCAACCAATCAGCTTTTTGCTTTCATTTTCAAAAGTTTACTGAACAAGCCGAAGCTAGAAGCTGACTGGTTACTATGCACAGATGATCCAGATTCTGTCTTATCAAGTTTTAGTACATTTCCTCTATAGTGTTTATTACTTCCTGCCATAATGACAAGCTGGACAGTAATCTACAGAGTACATAGAACCATTCATATTAGTCCCAGCTGCTTAAGTGAATCCCATTGTACTCCCTCCTACCACAATTATACCATCATACTTAAGTACATTGGGGCTAAATGGATAAGATCAGTATTACCAACCTCCTGCAGCATTTTATTACTGACAAAACATTACTGATGGAGCACATGTTTTTTACTGACAACCTGAAAAATGACAGAACTCATATTAAAAATTAAGACAAAGTGATATTTAAACAGTTTAACCACTTCCCGTCCAGGCAATGTACATAAACGGCCGGAGGGGAGCAGTGTTGAAGCGGGTTGCCGCTTATGAACGGCCTGTGCGCGCTCCCCGGGAGCGCGTGGCACCACGATCCGGTGCCCGCTGTGTACGGAGGTCCTGATTCATGTGATCCCTGATTGGTAAATCAGTGATCACATGAATAGTAGTGAACTGCTTACTACTTGTGAAACCTGTGAATGATCACAGAGATCACATGGCACAAGGCTATTCACAACAGCCTTGTACCATGTGACAAGTTGTGACCAATCACAGCTCTCACAGTATTTCTCAATGGCTGCAAGAATGCCAGAGAGAGAAAAATTATTGCTTTTACAGCCTGTATTGGTGTAAAAGCAATCAGTGTAAAAAAAGAAAAAAAATCTTCATCACCCCCCACAAGTAGTAGAGTGTCACTATGGGGACACTGTACTGCTAGGGTGACGGTATGTTAAAAAAAAAAACATTAAATAATGATGAAAAAAATTAAATAAAAATGTAAAAAAAATGTTGAAAAATTATCATTTTTGGTTGTAAATTAATTTGGGTTATTTTTTTTTTACTAAAAAGAAAGCTGAATACATTTTGGCTAAGATTTATGAAGAAAGAATATTTATTTGCAAAGTTTTATAAAAAAACACTTTTTTTTCATAATGTTTTATCTGTCTCAAAAAAATGCTAAAAAATTCATATGGGTACAGTGTTGCATGACCGCGCAATTGCCATTCAAAGTGTGATAGCACTGAAAGCTGAAAATTGGCCTGGACAGGAAGAGGGTGAAAGTGTCTGGACTTGAAGTGGTTAAACACAATATGGAAACTGACAAAAACCCATAACATGTAATTTGCCTCATTTACATGTAAAAAGACATCATCATGACAAACACATCATGAGAAATTATCAGCCCCTGATATTCACAGATTTTTACACATTGTTGTAAATTTATGGTTGGCAGCCCAGAGAAAATACCAATTAACCTATCAGTATGTTTTCATGTTGTGGGAGGAAACTCCATACACATAATGAGTGAGTACAAGAGCCGTGGATATAAAGGTGGCCAACCTCAACTCCCAGGCTCCATACAGATTCTTCGAGTCAGCACGCCTTCTCAAATGGTTAGACACATACACAGAATAGGTGTTGACAGTTTTACTGCAGACCACAAGATTGGGAAAACATGACAGCTCTTCACGGGCCTAGGCTGTGCTTACACTCATCATAGAAGGAATTAACTGTACAACGCAACTTTGGAACTGTAACAAACTCAGATGACCAATGCTCTCTTGCTCTAATAGGTGGCTGATGGGCCTGAGCTCTGCTATCTTCATTGGTCACTGACTGCACTTTTCTTGCAGTACTCCTCCCAGAAGACCCAGCTTCATTCCTCAAAACTCCTTTGCCCTGAATATCCTTCTTCTATCCAGAGGACCTCCCCCTACTCTGCCAATAGCACACATGCCATTACTGTTCCATTCATGAAAAACACCCAGTTGAATTAGGTTTCCTTTCTCATCTATTGAGGGACACAGGAATTCAGACTGCCAGGTTATACTGCCACTTACAGAAGGATTGGACACTGGGAAGCAAAAAACTGTATATCCAGTATAACCCCTTCTACTCCCAGGTTGTTGTTAGTGCCCTAGGAGAATGGATGTCTTTCCTCTGCTCTCCTTAGAAAAAGTTTAACCTTTTTCTTTTTGATTCGATCAAGATTCCTGTTACATCCCCGCTGCTGCTATGTGCAAATATCTTAACTAGAGATGAGCGAAGTATTCAAAAATTCGATTCGACTGATTCGGCGAATTCGTGAAAAAATTTTGATTCGATGCGAATATATTCGCTGCGAATTTAACTTATAAAAGGGTGTTTCTAGGCTTCAGAGAGCCTTTATATTAGTGCAGAACACTGTACCTTTAATTTAAATGCCCTTGGAGTCTGCTGGGGAAGAGAAATAATACTGTCAGTCAGTATGACATGCAGATGAGTGCCGTCGATCTTAGAATCACCGCACACTTCACTCATTTGGGCAGTCACGGGGCCAAAACCAGAGTGTGGAGCCACAGTGTGGCGGTGGAGGCAGCAGCAATGGGAGGCCATACAGCACCCTATGACAAAAATGGAACCCACCAGCAGTGTGAGGAGACCTGAAAGTGGCACATGGCAGAGTGTGGCGATGGAGACAGCAGCAATGGGAGGCCATACAGGGACCCATGAGAGACTGTGGACCTGGCAGCAGCATGAGGAGGCGGTACTGGGGCCCATGGCAGATTACGGGCCTGGCAGCAGCTATGGGAGGCCCGTAATCTGCCAGCACCCTATGACAAAAAATGGAACACACCAGCAGTGTGAGGAGACCTGAAAGTGGCACATGGCAGAGTGTGACGATGGAGACAGCAGCAATGGGAGGCCGTACAGGGACCCATGAAAGACTCTGGACCTGGCAGCAGCATGAGGAGGCGGTATAGGGGCCCATGGCAGATTAGGGGCCTGGCAGCAGCTATGGGAGGCCCGTAATCTGCCAGCACCCTATGACAAAAAATGGAACACACCAGCAGTGTGAGGAGACCTGAAAGTGGCACATGGCAGAGTGTGGCGATGGAGACAGCAGCAATGGGAGGCCGTACAGGGACCCATGAGAGACTGTGGACCTGGCAGCAGCATGAGGAGGCGGTACTGGGGCCCATGGCAGATTACGGGCCTGGCAGCAGCAATGGGAGGCCCGTAATCTGCCAGCACCCTATGACAAAAAATGGAACACACCAGCAGTGTGAGGAGACCTGAAAGTGGCACATGGCAGAGTGTGGCGATGGAGACAGCAGCAATGGGAGGCAGTTCAGGGACCCATGAGACACTGTGGACCTGGCAGCAGCATGAGGAGGCGGTACAGGGGCCCATGGCAGATTAAGGCCTGGGAGCAGCAATGGGAGGCCCGTAATCTGCCAGCACCCTATGACAAAAATGGAACCCTGGGCTGGGGCAGGCAGAACCGCCGTATCTTTATCACGGTTTTCCCAGGCCACCGAATGGCGACGCTGCATATGGCTGACGCAACGCTGTAGTCCCAACATGGGCCCCCTGGCCACGCTTGACTTTCTGGCCACATAGTCGACATAGGGCTACGTTTACTTCCTCGGGCGGCTTGACGAAAAATTGCCACACCGCCGGCCTCCACTGAGTAGGAAACTTTGCCCCCCGCTACTCCTCACTGGCTGACTGCTACTTCCTCCGTGCACACCGGCACCACTACTGGCCGTGGTGGTAGGCTGCAGTGGAGCTGGTGCTCTACTCCGTGGCCGTTTGCCTCCACTGACACTGCTGCGACCCTGCTGCCTCCTGGCAGCAGCAATGGGAGGCCGTACAGGGACCCATGACACACTCTGGACCTGGCAGCAGCATGAAGAGGCGGTACAGGGGCCCATGGCAGATTAGGGGCCTGGCAGCAGCAATGGGAGGCCCGTAATCTGCCAGCACCCTATGACAAAAAATGGAACACACCAGCAGTGTGAGGAGACCTGAAAGTGTGGCACATGGCAGAGTGATGTGGCGATGGAGACAGCAGCAATGGGGAGGCCGTACAGGGACCCATGAGAGACACTGGGACCTGGCAGCAGCATGAGGAGGCGGTACAGGGGCCCATGGCAGATTAGGGGCCTGGCAGCAGCAATGGGAGGCCCGTAATCTGCCAGCACCCTATGACAAAAAATGGAACAGGGGGGTACACCAGCAGTGTGAGGAGACCTGAAAGTGGCACATGGCAGACACACTGGGAGGCGGTACAGGGCCAATGAGAGACTTTGGACCTGGCAGATTAGGGGCCCCTATGGCAGCAGCAGCAATGGGAGGCCCGTAATCTGCCAGCACCCTATGACAAAAAATGGAACACACCAGCAGTGTGAGGAGACCTGAAAGTGGCACATGGCAGAGTGTGGCGATGGAGACAGCAGCAATGGGAGGCCGTACAGGGACCCATGACCACTCTGGACCTGGCAGCAGCATGAGGAGGCGGTACAGGGGCCCATGGCAGATTAGGGCCTGGCAGCAGCAATGGGAGGCCCGTAATCTGCCAGCACCCTATGACCAAAAAAATGGAACACACCAGCAGTGTGTGAGGAGACCTGAAAGTGGCACATGGCAGAGTGTGGCGATGGAGAGACAGCAGCAATGGGAGGCCGTACAGGGACCCATGAGACACTGTGGACCTGGCAGCAGCAGAGGAGGCGGAGGACAGGTAGGCGGTACAGGGGCCCATGGCAGATTAGGGGCCTGGCAGCAGCTATGGGAGGCCCGTAATCTGCCAGCACCCTATGACAAAAAATGGAACACACCAGCAGTGTGAGGAGACCTGAAAGTGGCACATGGCAGAGTGGCATGGAGACACTACAGGGACCCATGAGAGACTGGCCTGCAGCAGCATGAGGAGGCGGTACAGGGGCCCATGGCAGATTAGGGGCCTGGCAGCAGCTATGGGAGGCCCGTAATCTGCCAGCACCCTATGACAAAAAATGGGAACACACCAGCAGTGTGTGAGGAGACCTGAAAGTGGCACATGGCAGAGTGTGGCGATGGAGACAGCAGCAATGGGAGGCCGTACAGGGACCCTGAGAGACTCTGGACCTGGCAGCAGCATGAGGAGGCGGTATGGCAGCAGCATAGGGGCCCATGGCAGATTAGGGGCCTGGCAGCAGCTATGGGAGGCCCGTAATCTGCCAGCACCCTATGACAAAAAATGGAACACACCAGCAGTGTGAGGAGACCTGAAAGTGGCACATGGCAGAGTGTGGCGATGGAGACAGCAGCAATGGGAGGCCGTACAGGGACCCATGAGAGACTCTGGACCTGGCAGCAGCATGAGGAGGCGGTACAGGGGCCCATGGCAGATTAGGGGCCTGGCAGCAGCTATGGGAGGCCCGTAATCTGCCAGCACCCTATGAAAAAAATTGAACACACAGCAGTGTGAGGAGACCTGAAAGTGGCACATGGCATGAGTGTGGCACTGATGGAGACAGCAGCAGCATGGGGAGGCGGTACAGGGGCCCATGGCAGATTAGGGGCCTGGCAGCAGCTATGGGAGGCCCGTAGGGGCCTGGCAGCAGCTCTGCCAGCACCCTATGACAAAAAATGGAACACACCAGCAGTGTGAGGAGACCTGAAAGTGGCACATGGCAGAGTGTGGCGATGGAGACAGCAGCAATGGGAGGCCGTACAGGGACCCATGAGAGACTCTGGACCTGGCAGCAGCATGAGGAGGCGGTATACAGGGGCCCATGGCAGATTAGGGGCCTGGCAGCAGCTATGGGAGGCCCGTAATCTGCCAGCACCCTATGACAAAAAATGGAACACACCAGCAGTGTGAGGAGACCTGAAAGTGGCACATGGCAGAGTGTGGCGATGGAGACAGCAGCAATGGGAGGCCGTACAGGGACCCATGAGAGGGACTCTGGACCTGGCAGCAGCATGAGGAGGCGGTACAGGGGGCCCATGGCAGATTAGGGGCCTGGCAGCAGCTATGGGAGGCCCGTAATCTGCCAGCACCCTATGACAAAAAATGGAACACACCAGCAGTGTGAGGAGGAGACCTGAAAGTGGGCACATGTGGCGATGGAGACACTGGGAGGCCGTACCTGGCATGAGAGACAGCATGAGGGGCGGTACAGGGGCCCATGGCAGATTAGGGGCCTGGCAGCAGCTATGGGAGGCCCGTAATCTGCCAGCACCCTATGACAAAAAATGGAACACACCAGCAGTGTGTGAGGAGACCTGAAAGTGGCACATGGAGTAGTGTGGCGATGGAGACAGCAGCAATGGGAGGCCGTACAACCCACCGACTGTTGGCAGCAGCATGCTCGCCTGCCAAGCTGCCCCTGGCTCCTGATGATGCGGAAGCAATAGCCTGATGGGACCCGTAGGCTGCCAAGTGCGATCAGCCTCATCAATCAATTATGGTGTCTCCGCCAGCAATGTGAGGAGCCCCCTCGGTGGTGTGGGTGGGAGACAGACCTGTCTCTAGGACCGGCTACCGAGGAGCCACTCTCCTCGCCACTACTTCTTCGCCTGGCTGCTGAAGAGGCGGATGTATGGGACCCCGTTCCTGACCGCCCTCTGTTAGCTCTTCCTCACATGTACAGTGGGGCGAGCCCACAGCATGCGATACTGTGTCGCTTGGTGAGGGAACACCAAAGGACAGGGGCAGGTAGAGGACACGTGATTTCAGTGGGCTTGCTCCCGGGCCATGCCAACTAACGGTTGTGTCTGACGTACCCACCGACAAACGTTGGCTGTAGGTGTCAGAGGTGACCTGGGAAGAGGAAGACGCCGAGCCAACCAATCGTGACGGCAGGGTTGTCGGTGGAGACACGACCGCTGGATGACACCCTGAGGAGCACTGGCCTCTGGCTGCGACTAGTGCTGCCTCGACCCCTTCTGTCTGCTGCCACGTCTGCTCGCTCCTAAAACATGCCAGCCTCCTATGCCAAAAAATGTCTCCTCTGCATGTTGTCTGACAGACTCTTTAATTCAACGATTCTGTGTCCCTGAGTAACAATTCTGTGTCTGTCCCTGAGTAACAATTCTGTGTCCACCTGAGTAACGTTTCTGTGGCCCTAAGTAACAGTTCTGTGGCCCTCAGTAACAATTCTGTGTCCCTCAGTAACAATTCTGTGTCCTGTCCTGTGTCCCCTGAGTAACAATAACAATTCTGTGTCCCTGAGTAACAATTCTGTGTCCCTCAGTAACAATTCTGTGTCCCTCAGTAACAATTTCTGTGTCCCTGAGTAACAATTCTGTGTCCCTGAGTAACAATTCTGTGTCCCTCAGTAACAATTCTGTGTCCCTCAGTAACAATTCTGTGTCTGTCCCTGAGTAACAATTCTGTGTCTGTCCCTGAGTAACAATTCTGTGGCCCTAAGTAACGTTTCTGTGGCCCTAAGTAACGTTTCTGTGGCCCTCAGTAAACAAATTCTGTGTCCCTCAGTAACAATTCTGTGTCCCTGTCCCTTCTGAGTAACAATTCTGTGGCCCTAAGTAACGTTTCTGTGGCCCTAAGTAACGTTTCTGTGGCCCTAAGTAACGATTCTGTGGCCCTAAGTAACGTTTCTGTGGCCCTAAGTAACGTTTCTGTGGCCCTAAGTAACGTTTCTGTGGCCCTAAGTAAACAATTCTGTGTCCCTCAGTAACAATTCTGTGTCCCTCAGTAACAATTCTGTGTCTGTCCCTGAGTAACAATTCTGTGTCCCCTGAGTAACAATTCTGTGGCCCTAAGTAACTTCTGTGTCCCTCAGTAACAATTCTGTGTCCCTCAGTAACAATTCTGTGTCTGTCCCTGAGTAACAATTCTGTGTCTGTCCCTGAGTAACAATTCTGTGGCCCTAAGTAACAATTTGTGTGGCCCTAAGTAACGGTTCTGTGGCCCTCAGTAACAATTCTGTGTCCCTCAGTAACAATTCTGTGTCTGTCCCTAAGTAACAATTCTGTGTCTGTCCCTAAGTAACGTTTCTGTGGCCCTAAGTAACGTTTCTGTGGCCTAAGTAACGTTTCTGTGGCCCCTAAGTAACAATTCTGTGGCCCTCAGTAACAAATCTGTGGCCCTCAGTAACAATTCTGTGTCTGTCCCTAAGTAACAATTCTGTGTCCCTAAGTAACGTTTCTGTGGCCCTAAGTAACGTTCTGTGGCCCTCAGTAACAATTCTGTGTCCCTCAGTAACAATTCTGTGTCTGTCCTGAGTAACAATTCTGTGTGTCCCTAAGTAACCTTTTTCTGTGGCCCTAAGTAACGTTTCTGTGGCCCTAAGTAACGGTTCTGTGTCCCTCAGTAACAATTCTGTGGCCCTCTAAGTAACAATTCTGTGTCTGTCCCTCAGTAACAAGTAACAAACAATTCTGTGTCCCTAAGTAACAATTCTGTGGCCCTCAGTAACAATTCTGTGTCCCTCAGTAACAATTCTGTGTCTGCCCTCAGTAACAATTCTGTGTCCCTCTGAGTAACAATTCTGTGGTCCCTAAGTAACAATTCTGTGGCCCTAAGTAACGTTCTGTGGCCCTCAGTAACAATTCTGTGTCCCTCAGTAACAATTCTGTGTCTGTCCCTCAGTAACAATTCTGTGGCCCTAAGTAACAATTCTGTGGCCCTAGTAACGTTTCTGTGTCCCTAAGTAACCATTCTGTGGCCCTAAGTAACGTGTCTGTGGCCCTCAGTAACAATTCTGTGGCCCTAAGTAACAATTCTGTGTGTCCCTAAGTAACGTTTCTGTGGCCCTAAGTAACGTTTCTGTGGCCCTCAGTAACAATTCTGTGTCCCTCAAGTAACAATTCTGTGTCTGTCCCTAAGTAACAATTCTGTGGCCCTAAGTAACGTTTCTGTGGCCCTAAGTAACAATTCTGTGTCCCTCAGTAACAATTCTGTGTCCCTCAGTAAACAATTCTGTGTCTGTCCCTGAGTAACAATTCTGTGTCCTAAGTAACAATTCTGTGGCCCTAGTAACGTTCTGTGTCCCTCAGTAACAATTCTGTGTCCCTAAGTAAACAATTCTGTGTCCCCTAAGTAACAATTCTGTGGCCCTAAGTAACGTTTCTGTGTCCCTCAGTAACAATTCTGTGTCCCTCAGTAACAATTCTGTGTCTGTCCCTGAGTAACAATTCTGTGGCCCTAAGTAACAAACTGTGGCCCTAAGTAACGGTTCTGTGGCCCTCAGTAACAATTCTGTGTCCCTCAAGTAACAATTCTGTGTCTGTCCCTAAGTAACAATTCTGTGGCCCTAAGTAACGTTTTTCTGTGGCCCTAAGTAACAATTCTGTTCTGTGGCCCTAAGTAACGTTTCTGTGGCCCTAAGTAACGTTCTGTGGCCCTAAGTAACGGTTCTGTGGCCCTCAGTAACAATTCTGTGTCCCTCAGTAACAATTCTGTCTGTCCCTAAGTAACAATTCTGTGGCCCTAAGTAACAATTCTGTGGCCCTAAGTAACGTTCTGTGGCCTCAGTAACAATTCTGTGTCCCTCAGTAACAATTCTGTGTCTGTCCCTGAGTAACAATTCTGTGTCCCTAAGTAACGTTTCTGTGGCCCTAAGTAACGTTTCTGTGGCCCTCAGTAACAATTCTGTGTCCCTCAGTAACAATTCTGTGTCTGTCCCTAAGTAACAATTCTGTGGCCCTAAGTAACGTTTCTGTGGCCCTAAGTAACGTTTCTGTGGCCCTAAGTAACGATTCTGTGGCCCTAAGTAACGTTTCTGTGGCCCTAAGTAACAATTCTGTGGCCCTAAGTAAACGTTTCTGTGGCCCTCAGTAACAATTCTGTGTCCCTAGTAACAATTCTGTGTCTGTCCCTAAGTAACAATTCTGTGGCCCTAAGTAACGTTTCTGTGGCCCTAAGTAACGTTTCTGTGGCCCTCAGTAACAATTCTGTGTCCCTCAGTAACAATTCTGTGTCTGTCCCTAAGTAACAATTCTGTGGCCCTAAGTAACAATTTCTGTGGCCCTAAGTAACGTTTCTGTGGCCCTAAGTAACGATTTCTGTGGCCCTAAGTAACGTTCTGTGGCCCTAGTAACAATTCTGTAAACAATTCTGTGTCCCCTCAATAACAATTCTGTGTCTGTCCCTAAGTAACAATTCTGTGTCCCCCTAAGTAACGTTTCTGTGGCCCTAAGTAACGTTTCTGTGTGGCCCTAAGTAACAATTCTGTGGCCCTCAGTAACAATTCTGTGTCCCTCAGTAACAATTCTGTGTCTGTCCCTGAGTAACAATTCTGTGTCCCCTAAGTAACAATTCTGTGGCCCTAAGTAACGTTTTCTGTGGCCCTAAGTAACGGTTCTGTGGCCCTCAGTAACAATTCTGTGTCCCTCAGTAACAATTCTGTGTCTGTCCCTAAGTAACAATCTGTGGCCCTAAGTAACAATTTCTGTGGCCCTAAGTAACGTTTCTGTGGCCCTTCTGTCCCTAAGTAACGTTCTGTGGCCCTAAGTAACGATTCTGTGGCCCTAAGTAACGTTTCTGTGGCCCTAAGTAACAATTCTGTGGCCCTCAGTAACAATTCTGTGTCCCTCAGTAACAATTCTGTGTCCCTGTAAGTACAATTCTGTGGCCCTAAGTAACGTTTCTGTGGCCCTAAGTAACAATTCTGTGGTCCCTCAGTAACAATTCTGTGTCCCTCAGTAACAATTCTGTGTCTGTCCCTAAGTAACAATTCTGTGTCCCTAAGTAACGTTTCTGTGGCCCTAAGTAACGTTTCTGTGGCCCTCAGTAACAATTCTGTGTCCCTCAGTAACAATTCTGTGTCTGTCCCTAAGTAACAATTCTGTGGCCCTAAGTAACGTTTCTGTGGCCCTAAGTAACGTTTCTGTGGCCCTAAGTAACGATTCTGTGGCCCTAAGTAACGTTTCTGTGGCCCTAAGTAACGTTTCTGTGGCCCTCAGTAACAATTCTGTGTCCCTCAGTAACAATTCTGTGTCTGTCCCTAAGTAACAATTCTGTGGCCCTAAGTAACGTTTCTGTGGCCCTAAGTAACGGTTTCTGTGGCCCTCAGTAACAATTCTGTGTCCCTCAGTAACAATTCTGTGTCTGTCCCTAAGTAACAATTCTGTGGCCCTAAGTAACGTTTCTGTGTGGCCCTAAGTAACGATTCTGTGGCCCTAAGTAACATTCTGTGGCCCTAAGTAACAATTCTGTGGCCCTCAGTAACAATTCTGTGTCCCTCAAGTAACAAATTCTGTGTCCCCTAAGTAACAATTCTGTGGCCCTAAGTAACGTTTCTGTGGCCCTAAGTAACGATTCTGTGGCCCTAAGT